TCGTCCACGAATCCACCCCTCTCTCCACGACCCGCACACTGAGCAGCCGAGTAAATCCCGTACCCTCGTAATCCACATTTCTGCGTATGGTTTGCGATATGTTTCTTGTCGTTATTGGATTTTTGGGGACGATCAGTATTTAGTTTTAAGAAAATACGGTTCCGTTTGCGGTTTGTCGATTCCGCGTTGCTAAAAATCGGCTGGCGCCCTAAATACACGAAATAAGGATTGGATGAGCTGCTGATTGTCCCCGAAGTCCAGTGTTAGCGTTATGGTTTTTGGCGTTTCAGACTTGTCGGATTACGAGAACGAAGGTAATGAGTTGGCCGTGTTTGGATAATCGAGACTTCTGGGTTAGGGTTTATTGAGTATTTGTTGAGGCCAAAGAAAAATCATTACAAGTTCAAAAAGTGGAGGCCCTGGACTATTTTTAAAATTTTAAGCGTCTGCGGAGCAAACGAACAATAAAAAATCCATTTTTTTTTCACTGATTATTTATTTTTAGGCATATATATAATCGTTTTTCAATGCATGAGAAATCTCACTCCAATATCCCACACTTTTAAAACTCATGGTAGTCTCCCCTCAATTTATTCTTGAAACTGGTATTCTGTAAGTACCTAATGTGTCCTTTGACCCTATAATTGCCCTGTGGGCTGTTTGGTCTGTATACAGCAATAAATAAATAAATAAAATTGTGTACAGGGACAAGTGGAGTAAAATGGACACTTCTGTTACTAACTTTTATTAATGACCTATTAAATTGCTAATCAAAAAGGATAATTTTCAACATTGCGAAAAAAATTCAAACGTGTCCATTTTATGTCCATCAATAATAATAATATTTTTATGACTTACGGAATTGAATGAACGTCCCTAATAATAGTCCCCTGCATCTGTCACCGTTCCACGCACGTGCTACTGATGCTCCCCCTTCCTCACGCACCATTTCCCTCTCCCGTCCATCCCCACCGCCCCAATAACACTCACGTGCTACCCAACCAAATTCATTTCCACGAATAACGCGAATATAAACACAACTGTTGACTCCCAGAAATTACGATATATCGTAAATAATATATATATCCATCCACGGACGGAAGACTGTGGACATCAGTCCGAAACAGCCGGAGCCAGAAACCTTAACTAACTATATATCCATCCTGAACCACTGGTAAATTTAATGTCGAAATCCATACAGAGTATCGAACGATTACACCTGCCATGAAACGAACGAGTCTTTTTCGTCGAGTTAAGAACGCCGGGTGTCCTGTCATTAACCTTAATGCAGGCCATCAGACTGCTGTGACTGTTCTCTCGCAAGAGCCAGGGGTAATAAAAAAAATCGAATTTATTTATGAGGTTTTGCATTGTCATGGATGCTAATGGGGGATAGAGATAATGGGATCGTAAAATGTTTGAAAAATGAATTTATTGTCAAATCGTGACTCATTGTGCTCAAAATTAAATTGTTAACGGTATTTTATTTATGGGTTATACATAATTCATCCTTTATTTATTTATTTCTCAATAGTTCCATTCAGTTTTATGATTTGTTGCCCATTTTCATTCTTTCATGCCGTTATTATTGTTTGTTTACTTAATTTGTTTATTAATATTTGATATCGTTATTTGTTTATTTTATTCTTTGTTATTTAAATAATAGAGTTCACTTATAAAATGTCTTCGTTTAATAATAATCGATCCAGTTGTAAAATTAACTTGAAATTTATCATTCTTGAATATTTTATTGTACATTCTGTTCAATTAATTAATTACAGAATGATGAAGCTGTTCGAGAAATACCCAAGGAAAAATCCAGAAAGAAAAGAGTAAATCCATCTCTTGATACTGAACCCAACGATTATTCCTGTCAAAACAAATCGAAAAGTAAATTAAGCTTTGAGAATTTATCAAAAAATCGTGAGTATATTCTCAGTAATAAATTAAATATAAAAAATATCGAATGATGGGCGCTATGTGCACATCAATTATTCAGTTATTTATTTATTTATTCATTCATTCATTTATTTATTTGAGCTTTTAATCTACACCCTGAGGTAATGCAGCACCCCCTAAGGGCAAATACAAGATAAACCCAAATTCTAAAAAAAAAATGCATTGTATCATCTCAAGATAAGCATGACAAAGAAATAATAATTTTAAATTCACAATGAAAAATTTTCATGTTCAATATCAATTATCCCGAGAAATTATGTATGTGCAGTGAATAAACAAGAGAATCCAAAGGAACTTGCCAAGAAGAAAACTAGAGCGAAGGTCGACCTTGACTCAATGAAAGAAGAATTAAAACAGCTGGAGGATCCCCCGGAGACTGATGTGGAGAAGGAAATTAGTGTCAACAGATTGAATTACGAGTTCTACGATACCCCGTGCGAAGAGTTGGCTCAGAATCTCCTAGGTAATAGGTGTGCAAACATTGCAAAAGTGGGAAAAAAAAATTCTGAAGGTGGGATTATTCTCCTTAGGGAAAGTATTAGTTCGTCGGTTGGATAATGGATCTGTGCTGAGGGGGAGAATTGTTGAGACAGAGAGCTACTTGGGAAAAATTGATGCTGCCTCTCACACTTTTAATAATCGTGTGACACCGAGAAATATTCCCATGTACATGCTTCCTGGGACGATTTATGTGTACATGACTTATGGAATGTATTTCTGCTTTAATATATCGAGTGGAGGTGAGGAATTAAATTATTGCCAGTGGAGTAATTTCATCCATTTTTTTATTGACAAGCATTTTAAGCCTTACAATTTATTCTGCAGAATTTTACTCATTAAGACCCGGGTGTACTATCTTTCGAATGTTATCTGGATTTTTTTTATCTTTCGTAATCCAAAATTGTCAATTGAGTGGTGCATCATGTAAAAATTTCCAAAAATTATGATATAGTGATAAAAAAAAATATAAAAAATTCTGAACTTTTTTAAAGAGTGTTTTTAATTGAGATTCAGAATGAGTTGAAAAAAGTGGAAATTACAAATGTCTGATTCGCTGTGGCAAATGATCTATTAGCTGTCATTTTCCATGGTGGATAACAAAACACTAACCCCTCATGGGAAGTGACAGCTAGGTATCTCAATTTTCAAAATAGTGGTATGTCGTCATCTGCCATTTTTATGTGATAAAAGTGTGATTAAAAAATTCTCCAAAATATTACAACTTTTTTCAAAGAGCCTTTTCCGTAATAAATGTCTCTGTGCAGTGTGGGAAAAGATTTAGGAAATCAGTCTTCCCCCTGCATGATATTGGGTGACAGGCCGCCATTTGTCACCGTAAATCAGATACATTTTTCAATTTCTTGTTATTCAACTTATTCTGAATATAAATTAAAAATGCTCTTTAACAAAATGACAATTTTTTCATTCATAATTTTTCAAAACTTCTGCATGATGCAGGACTTAATTGACAATTTCAGATGACGAAAGATGAAAAAACACATCGAGATAACGTTCGAAAGATAGTACACCCGGGCCTTAAATCAAATACTTGATTAACTAATCTACTGTCTAAATGATAGACTCAACGAAATGAAATTAAATTGCAGAGATAAATTCGTTTTATGGAAATATTAGCGAAGAAAAATGATCAATTATCTATTGCAATATGAATTGCTCAGGTAAAGGCGCAGCAGTTCTTCTGAGAGCTCTCGAGCCCCTAGAAAATATGGAACAAATGCAGGAGAATCGTCTTTCCCTTCAGAAGTCGAAAAATAAAGAGAAAAAAACCAAAGATTTTCGCCTTCACGAATTATGCAATGGCCCCTCCAAGCTCTGTACAGCATTTCAAATCGACAGAGATTGCTGCAAATACTCCCTATGCACGTGGAAAAAAATGTGGATAGAGGATGATCCGAACTACCCTCGAGAGGACATGAGAGTCATAAAGACTGCGAGGATAGGGATTGATAGTGTTGGAGCAGAATGGGCCAACAAGCCCCTGAGATTTTATATCTATGGAAATTCTTCTGTAAGTAAACGTGATAAGAAATCGGAAGAGAACGTCGTTAGTGATAGTAAATAACTATTTTTATTGCACCCGATTCACTTCACGTCAGCCCATTTATGTTTTATTTATTATTAAAGTCAAAAATAATTTATAACCATTATGATTGAGACAATTTTTTACTTTTTTTATACGTGAATTTAATAAACTTGTAGCCACTCGGCCATAAATCTCTCGAATTCTCTTCCTCGATGGAAGGTTCGTCAATAAATCTGGAAAACCTGATCAATAAATCATCCACACGGAGGTAGAAACTTCCAGAAAGAAAGTAAACGTGATAAGAAATGGGAGGGGAACGTCATTAGAGATAATAAACAACTGCATGAAGATTTTTATTGCTCTCCATCCACTCCACATCGGCTAATTTATATTTATCTGTTATTTATTATTCAATTCAAAAATAATTGATAAAAATTACCATTGAGTCATTATACACCCGTTCTCTTAGGACAGTTTCTTACTTCATTTATACGTGCATTTAGTAAACTTACATCCGCTCAGCCATAAATCTCTGGTAATTCTCTTCCTCGATGGAAGGTTTGTCAATAAATCTGACAAACATCGTCAATAAATCAACTGCATAATGATTTTTATTTCTCTCCATCCACTCCGTCAGCCAATTTATATTTCATTTATTATTAAATTCAAAAATAATTTATAAAAATTATCATTGAATCATTATACACCCATTCTCTTAGGACAATTTCTCACTTTATTTATACGTGACTTCAATAAACTTATATCCACTCAGCCATAACTCTCTCGTAATTCTCCTCCTCGATAAAAGGTTTGTCAATAGATCTGAAAAAAAACAATAACTAAATCACCCACTCAGAGGTATAACTTTCCAGATATAAAGAATCACAATATAATTACTCGATCATAAATTCTCCGCAGTACAAGCACTCCGACGCCACGAGATTATCGATATCCGCCTTGATTTGATCCTTAGTAGATAGAGAAACTGATCCAACCGAAGTCGTGTCTTCCGACTTCTTCGATGCTGCTGTGAGCTGCCTCTGGAGATCGGCTAATTTAGTTTGTTGCTCAATCGACAGCATCGGTGTCAACGCTGCGATCAAGCAATCGCTGTGGAATCGATGGCCACAGGGGAATACGTAGAATGGCCTCAACAGAAGTTGAACTTCGCACGAGTTGCACGTATCCCTCACGTGGACAAACGTACATCTGAGTGAATAATGAGAGGTCAGGAATTAACATTTTTGGGCAATTAACTATGTGCGATGTGGGGGGGACGATTCACCTGGTACGAAATGCCTGGATATCCTTTCTTATTATTTCAGCTGCCTTTGTCGCATCCTGCATTTCCTCTTTTAGGTCTTGAATGTGTTGATTGTATTCCTGGTTAGGTAATAATTAATAATTAAACATCTTATCGATGATTTCAGGGATATTTTAGAATTGGAACAATGGCATTTGAATTTTCCATTTCAAGAATTTGAATTCAATTTAAGGCCCGAGTGTACTATCTTTCGAATGTTATCTGGATTTTTTTTATCTTTCGTAATCCACAATTGTCAATTGAGTGGTACATCATGTAGAAATTCCCAAAAATTATGATGGAATGATAAAAAAAAATAGAGAAAATTCTGAACTTTTTCAAAGAGCGTTTTTAATTAAGATTCAAAATGAGTGGAAAAAAGTGGATATTACAAATGTCTGATTCCCTGTGGCAAATGATCTATTAGCTGTCATTTTCCATGGTGGATAACAAAACACTAACTCCTCATGGGAAGTGACAACTAGTTATCTCAATTTTCAAAACAGTGGTATGTAGACATCTGCCATTTTTATGTGATAAAAGTGTGATTAAAAAATTCTCCAAAATATTACAACTTTTTTCAAAGGGCCTTTTCTGTAATAAATGTCTCTCTGCAGTGTGGGAAAAGATTTACGAAATCAGTCTTCCCCCTGCATGATATTGGGTGACAGGCCGCCATTTGTCACCGTAAATCAGATACATTTTTCAATTTTTTGTTATTCAACTTATTCTGAATATAAATTAAAAATGCTCTTTGAAAAAATTAAGAATTTTTTCTACTTTTTTTTATTATTCATTCATAATTTTTCAAAGCTTCTTCATGATGCAGAACTCAATTGACAATTTTAGATGACGAAAGATGAAAAAAAACATCGAGATAACTTTCGAAAGATAGTACACCCGGGCCGTAATTCATTCAATTTCTCATTTGTTTTGAAATTCAATAAAATTATTCTTTTCATCTTGAAGAAATGACACATCACATTCAGTTAAATTTTCAATAGTTTCTCTGAATTTTTTACAATGTTTAATCATTTTCATTGAGAATTCCAAAAACCAAGTGCATGAAACCGCAGTCAATTATTCATTGCTAAAAATCGTTGCATACCTGTAGAGAATTGCAAATAGCATCCTTGAAATGATCAATCGTAACGAAATCCGAGAAAAAAGGTAGAATATCCTCAATTTTGACCAGATCACACTGTTGCAAAAATTCCATTGCCTGTTGAATGTCATCGCGTTCTCGAACAACATGTTCAGCTGAAAAAAAAACCATTCTCATCAAATACACCTTGAATCCAACCCCTCATTACTCGACGTAAACAAAGAATCACCTATTTTCAACCACAATTTTTTCTTCAATTCGTTGTCGTTGTGCGATGGCATCGCAGCTATTATTTTAGCCAGATCTACATCTATGGTTAAAGCAAGATCAACTGCTGTAGTCCAGAGGCCTAATAAAGCGGAGAGCTGCACGCAAGCATCGGTTAAACCATTTTCTTGGCATAAACGCAGGGCGTAGTGCACGTCGTAGTGCACCATCGTTATGTCTTGACCTGTGAAAGAAACATTTCATTGTGTATTTCACCAATCAGGGCTGATAATCAGACTTGTCGTTCTATGCATTCATACCTTGAGAACCTATGTAACGCATCACCTCATCTCGTTTGTATCTGGCATAGAGTGACAGTAATAAATTGTGAATTGCTTGATCTGGACAACTTTGTTTGTAAACACAGAATTCAAGATACTTTATCACCTCTTTCGCCTGAATAAAATTTAAAAAAAACATTATCATCGAGTATTTGCATAACATTTTTTTTTTCAATAATTCAAATGATGAAAAAACTAACTGAGAGATCAGGAATTAATTAATTATCAATTTTAATTTGATAATTTTAATTTCATAATTTGAAATGATGAAATCAACCAAAAAAGAAATCAAATCATTAAAAATAAAAATGAATAAAAGTCAGGGAATGATTTTAAAAAATAGATAAATTAATAAATCAATGAATATCTCATCAACTCACATGTTTCTCATCACTATCACACGATACCAAAGCCGGTAGTAATCTCGACGGTTGCAATTGGCTTCCCTGCGAAATAATAGCAGCAACAGTTGGTTTTGGCAACTCCTGCAGCAGTGCCCCAGCAAATTGATAGAATAAATTCCTATTCCCCTGGCTCTTGAGCACCTCAAGTGCCTCGAGATAATTATTCTTGTACAAATGCTGGCGAATAACTTCCTCGTAATTGCGATGCATTATTGTTAGGCGAATTAAGTTATCTTTATCGCCATGACTGGCCATGAGGTTGTAGATGGTGCTCAAGTTCTTTTTTATGCACTCCTCCACGACTGGAATGCACAAGAAGCTGTCGAATTGTTTTTGCAAGTCCATGTACTTGGGATTATGGAGGTAGGAGGACTGGTCGCCTCTGAGGGCGCCCAGCTGGTTCATGAAGAGTTCGACGACCCAGACTACTATCATCGTTATCTGAGTCTTGTCCTGAGGCCTTAGGCCCTCCAATTTCTTCTTTAAGAAGGTCTTGAGGGCCTCGATCTGGGAGTCCTGCAGGAATTTCAGGGATATCTCCTCAAAGGAGGAGTGAGTGTCAGCGTAAATCAATGCACTTTTCTCGTAGTCATTCGCTTTGAACAGCATTTCAGCCTCTTTCACAAGCACCTGGTCGATGTGTGCCGGATTTCCCTTGCAGTACTGCTTCGCAAGCTCAAACTCACCCTTCTCCATATACACCTAATTATAATGAGTATTAAGGGGAGGTTCATCTCGGGAACAAATCTTTTGTTTTTCAAGAAAAAAACTTCAAAATCACTATTTTTCGCCTGATTTGCCTGAGCGGATTCGATTGTGTAGGGCAAAAAATCAAATTTTGAAAAATCCCCTTGATCACAAATTTTCGTTTCTTAATTATGAAGAATGCGAGAAAGTTGCTTTTTCAAATTTATTCGTTTATCAAAATTTTTATTAAAATATGAAGAAAAAAAATTCCTGCCCAAATATTACGTATAAATTTCATTTAAGGCCCGGGTGGATTATCTTTCGAACGTTATCTCGATTGTTTTTCCATCTTCTTAATGTAAAATATATGACAATTTCCATTGGATTTCACATCACCCAGGAATCCCTAAAAATTATGACTGTACAATAAAAAAAAATACAAAAAAAACATTTTCAACGAGCGTTTTTAATAAAGATTAAGAAATAGATACATCAAATTATTAATTTGCAATTCCTTCCTATTGGATTTATTTTTCAATATTATTCAAAAACGCTCTTTGAAAATGTTCACCTTTTTTTCAACGTTTTTTTGATCGTACAATCATAATTTTTGGAAACTCCAGGGTTATGTAAAACTGAATAGCAATTGGAGATCATTTCAGATTATCAAAATAAAAAAAACAAACAAGATCACGTTCGAAAGATAATCCGGGCCTTAAAATCTACAATTAAGGAGAGGAAAATAGTATTAAAAATTTTTTTTTCTCGAAAAACGAAAAAGTTTTACTTTTTTTTAACCTCCCCTTAAATTATCCTGATTGAACTGTGAAGCAGAATTAATATGTACGTGAATTAATTACGACAAAAATAAAAGTAGAAGAAAGAAAATGAATGAAGTTCTCATTTGTCCTATCACTCACTATTTAATTTTCAATTAAACAATCTACTTCCCGAGAAATGACCTGTGGTAAACATGAAATATTTGTCCTTAGGGGCATATGACCCCAGAAAATCTAATAAAAGTGTTCTACTACTATCATTACCTGCCATACGTTTCTCTCCTCTCGTGTTACTTTGTATTTGAACAGCCCTCGCTCTGTGTGAGCCCAGATCGCCCCAGTCATTGGGTCCTTCGTGATGTTGACTAGTTTTCCAAATGTGTCGTTGTACACGTCCTCGAAAATCAACTCTTGGTTCAGGAGGGAAATTCCTTTGACGTGATCGGAGTATAAGAGCAGAGCGTGGAATTTCGTGAGGATAAAGTTTATGGGGGCATTTTGGGAGGTCGACACTGTCGAACCACTGAGACTTGTCTCCGGGGAATAGAGCATCACTTGGTTTACGAGGACATTGTCAGGGTCTGCCTTGGGGCTTACCTGAGAGGAGAAAATGGAAATTTGTATTTCATGATTTATTCATAATTGTAATTATTGATGTTATGTCCAGACTTTTTCAAAATAATTTTTTTCCTCACTTTCTCATTGGTTAGAATAGAATTTTCTTTATGCCTCTTGATAATTGAACCTTCCCCTATTTATCTTAATTATTTCCTTTCTTCAAGTTTAATTTCTTTATGAAAAAAAGACTCAGAAAGGAGTGTTTAAAAACCAAGTGAATGAAGAATTTTTAATAAAGAGAGAGTTAAAAATTTAAAACCAGTGGGAAATTAATAAATTAGTAATATGCTTCCGAATGATCATTTTGCTTATTTTTTCCATTGTATATTATCCGTAGCCCATTTTATTTTCTTGGATTGAATTATTTTCTTTCCAACTAATTGTTTTAGATTTTCCACTTAATGAAATTCTATCATTATTATTATTTTTATTATCCCTCACGAGTTTATTCATTCAAAGTGAGATCGAAATAATTCTTTTTGATGATAGTTGAATCAATTTGAACATTTTTCTTCCATTCAAATAATTAGTGAAAGTGAATTTTCCACAAAGATGAAAATTGTTGTTTCATCGTTCTTTGATTATTTTATAAAAATTTCATTTATAAATAATTGAATGCATTCGAAACATCACATTTAAAGGAACCGCCAGAAAGCTAACTTTAAGAGGAATTCATAAAAAATCGACATTTCCAAAAATTATCCCAAAAATGAAATTAACCGAGACAGTTATTGTAACCACCTTTTAACTTCGTCATAGTCGCATTGAAACATACATATTAAGCTATGATTGAATTCATTTGAAGCGCAATATCCAAAGATATCTGCAGAATTCTCATTTTCGAAAAATACGAAATTTTGGAAAAATTTCACAAAAATCAAAATAACGGTCATTGCCATCGCTTTCATCTTCGAACTCGGTCAAAAGGACATCCCAACGAATTTTTTAAGCCATCATTCAATGAATTTAGAACAGTTTTTTTTTAGTTATCGTGTTACAACTGAATTTTGAAAAAATTCGAAAATTTGAAAAATGAATCAATGAATTAAATTTTAATTAATGGCGATGGATAGGGCTTAGCAATACCTTTATTTAAGAACGGACACGGTCTAAAAAATGCATTTCCGGACTTTTTGGATCATAATGGGTCGGTACAACACAAAAAATCCAAAACTTGAATTTCCACGATTACAACGCCCCATTCGGAAGCAAAAATAGAAAATAAACGTTCATTCATCTTCTCCTTGAAACAAACCTCTGCATAGAGTATTCCTGTTTCAGTCAGCCATCCAAACGATTTTGGAAAGCCCTTTGGTACCGGATAATAGAATTGCATTCTTGAATATGGTAGGGAGCTCTCCAATTGGCTAAACCGTTCTGAAAAGAGGTTTATCTACATGAAACAACAGAATTATGAGTTTGAAAATTTATTCTGCACAATAACTGACCTTCCACATTCAAATATCTGCTGAATATTTGCTGGAGTAACGGCTTCTCCTGAGCATTTGTTATCGAACCTATGTACTGATAAATCCGGATCTTCGTGGTGACTATTATCACGTATTTATCGGAGTATGGAACCTTGTGGAATGCTATACCAGTTATTGGGGGTTTACTGTGTTCACCTATATCGAATACCTGATAATAAAAAATTGGCATTCATTTATTCATTAATTAATTCAACAAATTTTTCTTCACTCTTCTTTTCTACTATTCTCGTGTCTTCGTGTTACAGTTGTGTCCCACACATGACTTGTGTGGGTATGAGACAATGCAATGGCTATTCTGTCCTACTTACCAGTCCATCTACCTCTTTACTTCCGTAGAGAGGCAAATAATTAGGAAGCTTTCGGGAGTAACAGATAATGCGATGAAGGATGATTTTTAAATTACCTAAACTACAATCAACTCTTCCAAATTGTCATAAAGAAATTTGAAAGAATTAACGTCATGATTTCAATGTCAGAGAGAAGTGATTATGGATATCTACCTGCTTCCAATATTGCTCCAGACTCGTATTAAAAATTTTATCAGCGTCAAGACTAATTTCAGTTTCAAAAATGAGTCCTTTGGAGGTTCCCAGTAGAATAGGACCAGTGGTTGTGTCTGAGGTATTCGAGAAGTTCCAGCCAACAGCTGTTATTTCGTGGCCTCGAAATTTCCCAGCCTAGAAAATCGTCAGTAGTTCCTCACAACAATTTTCATTATTTCATTATTTCATTATTTCTTCACTATTAAAAATTCGTCTGAATTTTTCATGCTAAATTCCGGAAATTTTGATCGTGTTCAAGTTCCACTGAAATTTCAAGAAATCTTGTCATTGAAAACTCAAATATTCCATTGATTTTCTGTTCAAATGATCTGGAAATCAATCAAATAGTTGATTTATCAGTGCAATTTTTCCATAAAAATTCAGGGAAAAATTGAAATCTCGTGTCATTCTGTTTTTCNGGACACGGTCTAAAAAATGCATTTCCGGACTTTTTGGATCATAATGGGTCGGTACAACACAAAAAATCCAAAACTTGAATTTCCACGATTACAACGCCCCATTCGGAAGCAAAAATAGAAAATAAACGTTCATTCATCTTCTCCTTGAAACAAACCTCTGCATAGAGTATTCCTGTTTCAGTCAGCCATCCAAACGATTTTGGAAAGCCCTTTGGTACCGGATAATAGAATTGCATTCTTGAATATGGTAGGGAGCTCTCCAATTGGCTAAACCGTTCTGAAAAGAGGTTTATCTACATGAAACAACAGAATTATGAGTTTGAAAATTTATTCTGCACAATAACTGACCTTCCACATTCAAATATCTGCTGAATATTTGCTGGAGTAACGGCTTCTCCTGAGCATTTGTTATCGAACCTATGTACTGATAAATCCGGATCTTCGTGGTGACTATTATCACGTATTTATCGGAGTATGGAACCTTGTGGAATGCTATACCAGTTATTGGGGGTTTACTGTGTTCACCTATATCGAATACCTGATAATAAAAAATTGGCATTCATTTATTCATTAATTAATTCAACAAATTTTTCTTCACTCTTCTTTTCTACTATTCTCGTGTCTTCGTGTTACAGTTGTGTCCCACACATGACTTGTGTGGGTATGAGACAATGCAATGGCTATTCTGTCCTACTTACCAGTCCATCTACCTCTTTACTTCCGTAGAGAGGCAAATAATTAGGAAGCTTTCGGGAGTAACAGATAATGCGATGAAGGATGATTTTTAAATTACCTAAACTACAATCAACTCTTCCAAATTGTCATAAAGAAATTTGAAAGAATTAACGTCATGATTTCAATGTCAGAGAGAAGTGATTATGGATATCTACCTGCTTCCAATATTGCTCCAGACTCGTATTAAAAATTTTATCAGCGTCAAGACTAATTTCAGTTTCAAAAATGAGTCCTTTGGAGGTTCCCAGTAGAATAGGACCAGTGGTTGTGTCTGAGGTATTCGAGAAGTTCCAGCCAACAGCTGTTATTTCGTGGCCTCGAAATTTCCCAGCCTAGAAAATCGTCAGTAGTTCCTCACAACAATTTTCATTATTTCATTATTTCATTATTTCTTCACTATTAAAAATTCGTCTGAATTTTTCATGCTAAATTCCGGAAATTTTGATCGTGTTCAAGTTCCACTGAAATTTCAAGAAATCTTGTCATTGAAAACTCAAATATTCCATTGATTTTCTGTTCAAATGATCTGGAAATCAATCAAATAGTTGATTTATCAGTGCAATTTTTCCATAAAAATTCAGGGAAAAATTGAAATCTCGTGTCATTCTGTTTTTCAATGTTAATGTTCCACTGAAAATTCAATCAAGTTGTGAAATTTCCACCTCACTCTCACTGAAAACTCCTGAATTTCCGTGAATTCTACTTAAAAATAAAAATTTCATATTCTTTTTTTACCTAAATCCGATTCAATGTCACTCTCATGAGATTTACTATAATATCTTCCACGAAATTTCAAAAAATGTCTAACAGTACTCACGGGTTTTAATTTCGTCGCAGTTTTGTGGAGATAAAATAATTCAGAGGGGGGATTCTCTCCATTCTTCGGTGCCAATGCCAGTAATAAGTGATTTCCAAGTGGATCCAGAAATAATCCACTCATTTTCATCTGGGGCATGCACTTGGACACATCAATCTCCTCCTTCTTCTCTGGGTTCTTGACGTCAATCCTGAGGATAACGTTATTCGCCATGGCAATCATGATGAGATTACTGCTGACTGCCAGGTGGAGAATATTGTCAGGAGGGCGAAAGTTCACTCTCTGCCTTATGAATATGGGCTCTTCGTCTTGGAGCTTCATCTGAATGAAACCTGCTGTGCTCTGAACATTTAATCATGAATGAGTTTCCCACAAATTTATAATGAAGGCCCGGGTGGATTATCTTTCGAACGTGGTCTTGATTGTTTTTATTATTTTCATAATCTGAAATGATCTCCAATGGTTATTCAGTTTTACATAGCCCTGGAGTCTCTAAAAAATATGATTGTACAGTCAAAAAAACGGTGAGAAAAAGTGAGAAAGACCCAATAGGGAGGAATTTCAAATTCATAATTTGATGTAGGGGAGGGTGGAGTAAAACGGACACTTTAGACGTTTTTAAAATTATTCATACCTCAGAAACAAATTGATCAATTGTGTTTAGGCTCGGTTCAGGCTCGTCACAAAGGGAAAGAATTGTTCTTTGTATTGAAAAAAAAATATTCAATTTTATCAACATTTCAACACCTCATCAACATTTTTAAAAAAGTCAAAAGTGTTCGTTTTACCCCAACCTCTCCTATCTAATGGCTGTTAGGTCGTCATTTCTCAATGTAATGCATTCACTTTTCCCTCTCCATTGGACTTATTTCTTAAGCTTTATTAAAAACGCTCTTCGAAAATGCTCAGTTTTTTTTCTCCTTTTTTTAATTGTACAATCATAATTTTCAGGGACTCCTGTGTGATGTAAAATCCAATAGAAATTGTGAGATATATTTTACATTATGAAGATGGAAAAACAATCGAGATGACGTTCGAAAGATAATCCACCTAGGCCTGAAATTAAATAATTAGAGTTTAAATTAAATAAAAAGAGTGGACGAGCGATAAAATTGAAGTGATAACAATAATTACTTAAAGAATGAAATTAAAATTATGTAGAGACGACAGTTGGCTTACAATATCAGGCCTCATGGGCTCTGGCCCAGATGGCTTGGAACGCTGAGAGGCTTTCTCGTACTGATCGAATATTGAAGTCATTGTTTCCTTATTTTAATTACTCGTTCAATAGCATCAATTAATCTGCCACTTTTTCATGTTCAGGCATGAAGAACAGGGTCTGCAAGAAAAAAGTCCCCTTGAAAATTATTTAGAACAAGTAATAATAGTAAATAACTGACATGAAGCATTAAAAATAGCAATAAATAATTGATAGCAGTTGACATATGTTGAATTAGCAATCTCCGCAGCTCAAAATAATTCCTAAAATAATTGCAAAGATGAGTTGTTCTGCCCCTAACGACGCATTAATTCCGTGATGACCATTAACAGCCCCAGAGCTCATCCCAAATAAGTAACAACAATAATAAATAATTGACAGCAGAAGACATGTTCCATTGACCCACCTGTCCAATAATTTCTTCCTCCCCCCGATGTCGAGAAAAATGAGAAAAACACAGGGATAACCTCACATTTTGCTCCAATATTGAAATACCAAAACCCATAAAAACAAGTTGTTCATCAATGAAATTCCCATTAATCACACGAGACAACAATTTATTGATAATCCTCATGCAATTGACACCCACCCTCTACGAAGACTTGTCAATGCACTCCACTACTTTTCATCTGTCATTCGAGCGATATGAGAACAGATGAGAAGCGCCAGTGGAGCTCTGAGTTTCGTTTCTCTCTCTCACATTTCGTGCCCATCGACACGGGAGAGGACCCCCCGACCGTGACAGGTCGAACGCGTTTGGTTTGTCGAGGTCAAAACTTCGGAGAAAATAAATACTTCATCCCCTCACGTCTGAAAATTTTCTCCAATCGAAAACACCTGGTCAGAAGAATCAGGGGGACAATTATTACCGGATAAACATCATTCCGAAAACGTTATCAGTGCGCCATGCCGGTGACGCCCTTCCCTTTCTGAAGAATTAGTCATCTTTGGACAGGAATTGATCATCGAACCTCTGTTGCAACAACAACATTAGCATCTCAGTGGGTTTAATTTTACTGTTGAGCAGCCATGGACAACAAAGGGCGTAAGGTCATTGTTTGTGATAATGGAACTGGGGTAAGGTTATGTCCAACTACAAATCATCGATATGTGTCATTAGCGCGATAATTATCCAATTGTGCTGACTATTTATGAAAATGGATTTTCCTTGTTCATCAGTTTGTCAAGTGTGGATATGCTGGTGCTAATTTTCCAGCTCACATATTTCCATCGATCGTGGGACGTCCCATTATCAGAGCGGTGAATAAAATCGGGGACATCGATGTGAAGGTAAAAGCTAAATCATCAACAGAATCATTTATTCACGTTTAAGAGAGAGTGGGTGAAACGAGGCGCCTTCAATCGTCGATAACTCGAGAACGGTAGAGTGAAATTCCTTTCTTTTCATTTTCGAGGTATTTTTTCGAGCTTTAAAATGAGCTCTGACTCGTCCGAATCGCATCGTTTAGTCCGGAGATATTGAGGATTGAACGAGGCTCGGTTTACTCCATTCGTGAGAATAACTTTTTCCACGACAACAGAATAAAAATGATACATTTTGGGAAATGAAATTTATAATCGTATTATTGTGTTTTCAGCAAGAACTTTGCGTTCGTGTAAGTCAATTTGTAGTATCCAATAGTCTTTTGTGCTAGACGTGTTAAATAAAAGCGAGAATAAAGAGAGGAGGAAGTGATTTTTTAACAAAACTCCAGTATATCAAGCCCCCCAATAATAATAGCACACACTCACGTACCCAAGCCAACCGATCAGATATGTAACGGATTTTATATTAAATAATTAATCGTATTCATGTGCTTTACAAATTTGCCAACGATATAGGACGTGCTTAACATGCCTGTAAGTCAATACGTATCTCCTGTAGCAAAATATGAATGTTTATCAGAACCATGCGCTTGATTGTTTTTTTATTTACACTCAAAATTGAATTGCTTGACGTTTTTAGTTATCGAAATATATATGTCGTTGTCATGGAAGTAGAGTGTGCATCTGGATATTTTTTAGTGCAACTGAATTGTCGTGGTGTGTCGAGGGAATGTTTGGGGAATGCTACTGCTGGGGATTTATTTAATTCTTATTTATTTGGATATGAAAACAGGAATTGATGGTGGGGGATGAAGCGAGTAAACTACGATCGCTTCTGGAGATCAGTTATCCCATGCAAAATGGAATTGTCAGGTATGAATGGGGGATTGTTCAATTTTTTTATATTTATTTTGTTTTTGGAAATGAAAATGGAGTGAAAAGTGTGAAAATTTTGTGGATAAATCAATGGATACTGTAAATTTCAGTGCAATTACTCTTTGAAAATTGATAGAAATCAGGAAAATTCAGGTGAATATTCTTGAATTTTTGAGGAATTGAAATGTCAGCGTAATTTACGGCTGAAAATTCAAGTAATTTAGGGAATTCTCATCTCCCTGCTGATAAAAAATTTGAAATTTCATGATTTTTCCCCCTTAAATTTAATTTAAACACTTGACTTTCTCTTGAATTCGCAAAGTATTACCAAAAATATTAGACACGTTTTTTTTCTAAATTCAATAACTCATTAACTATAATTAAATTATACAATAATAATAAGAAGAAGTGAAATATTGATAAATGATTGATTATTAAAAAAGTTCCAAGTCCCTCTACTCTTCATCCTTTTTGAGAATTAAACAAAAAACATGTCTAACAATTTTTTAATTCCATTTTCCTACACCATTCTATGAAATAAAAAAATTTAGTGCAACAATGTTAATTTGAGATGATAACAACAGAATATTTACAGGAATTGGGAGGACATGTGCCATGTGTGGGATTACACATTTGGCCCTGAGAAGATGAACATCAATCCACGAGAGTGTAAAATATTGCTGACAGAGCCGCCGATGAATCCAACAACAAATCGAGAAAAAATGATTGAAGTATTAACCCCCTCCCACTAATAATATCACCACGAGGTCTTGGAGGATTCTTTTGAATTAACTGATGAAATTTTACAGATGATGTTTGAGAAGTACCAATTTGCAGGGGTTTACATCGCAATGCAGGCAGTACTAACTCTCTACGCCCAAGGGCTGATAAGTGGAGTTGTAGTGGACTCTGGAGACGGTGTAACCCACATCTGTCCAGTCTACGAGGAATACGCGCTACCGCACTTGACTCGTAGACTCGACATCGCTGGGCGAGACATCACAATGTACCTCATTAAGTTGTTATTGCTGCGGGGTTATGCTTTCAATCATTCTGCTGATTTCGAAACTGTTAGGATGCTGAAAGAAAAATTGTGTTATATTGGGTATAACATCGAGACTGAGGAGAAACTGGCGGTTGAGACTACTGTTCTTGTAGAATCTTATACTGTAAGTTACATTAAAATTAATTAACTAATGGTCTTTTCCATTAAATTAATCAGACAATTAAAGAGTTCTTGTGGCTTTTTGTTATTCTATCATCATAAAATTTTATGTTTGGAGAGGACTTGAAACAGAATTTCGTGGGAATAAAATTACCCAGAAGACAAAAGAAGAAATGAATTGATCGATTAAATAATTTTTGAATCACTTGTTCAATTTTGGTTATTTATCAACTTGTTTGTCTTGATATTAGTAAACTATAATCTCAATATTTATAAAATTATATTCTCATAAATTAACAAAAGAGCCAAAAGAAAAATTCAATTATTTAATGTATTGCATAATTAATTCTTGAATTGTTTTAATCTCTAGCTGCCTGACGGTCGAGTAATTAAAGTCGGTGGTGAGCGTTTTTCCGCTCCTGAAGCTCTCTTCCAACCACATTTAATAAACGTAGAAGCTCCAGGGATCGCAGAACTAGTATTCAATACCATTCAATCCGCAGAAATTGACATGAGGAGTGAATTATACAAGCACATTGTGTTGAGTGGGGGCAGTACGATGTACCCAGGACTGCCCTCGAGGCTCGAGAGGGAAATAAAACAGCTGTATCTTGAACGAGTGTTGAAGAACGACACGTCCAAACTAGGGGTAATCAACTAAATTCAATCACTCCATCATTCGCGATTAAACTAATGACTATTTTCTCCTGCAGAAATTCAAAATTAAGATCGAAGATTCACCCAGGCGTAAAGACCTCGTCTTCATGGGTGGAGCTGTCCTAGCAGAGTTGACAAGAAATCGAGACTCATTTTGGATCACGAGAGAGGATTACCAGGAGAAGGGACTGAGTGTGTTGAAACAATTGGACAATTACGATTCGAAATAAATAGGGAAATTCAATTCTTTGGAAAACGACGAATGCAGCCAAAAGAATTCGCGGGGACCCACGAGAGAGATCTCCCAACAAAAAATTTATTGGGGATGAATTTTCATTCTCATCGATATCATCCTCACGAGTTGGCAGAGCTAGATTAGAGTGCGACTTTTTTACATTTTTTTGTACATGTTTTGTATTTTGCGTGTGAACAGGGGAATCAAATTCAATCTTCTATTAAATGTGCAATTAACTTATTCATTCAACTAGAATTAATCGTACTTTAATAATGTCAATTCACTGAGATGATTGTCAGTTCGAGTGAAAATTCATTACTTCAATTAGAGACTCTTGTGAGAGGAGTAGATAAACTTATTGCGCTCTTCAGCGTTGTGTAAATAACGTGCATTTTCATTCAATATTTGTTTTAAAACGTGAAAATTCCATTTTTGTTACAGTAATGATTATTTTACCTTTAATTGAATAATTAAATACAGAATGAGCTCAAAATGTCCATTTATTTTCAATTAGGCAGGATCGCACTGTCAGAACTAAGCAATATTATATGTATATTTTTAATTAATTTTTCGTAATAGCATAAATCTAGAACAGTCTTTATTAAGTTTCATTCATTATTTGCTCACAATTTTACACAATTCTCTTTCCACATTTTCTTTTTCATTGTATAAATAAAAGTAACAATATAAATTGTATTTTTTTTCCCGTATTATACAGAGGCGAATACAATTATAACTGGCAGAATGTAACAATGGATAATGATTCTCAATGAATTTTCATCTTCATTGTTATTTACTCTTTTTCTTGTTCATTTTGTACAAGTTTCATCTTTCTCTTTCACACAATTTGTGACAAAATTTACATTTATATAGCGACAGATGAGTAAAAATTGCAGATTGAAGTATAATGCTCATTAATCGAGGAAACGATGAAAAAATACGAAATAACGTAGCTTAATGGTTTTAGTTAAAACATAATTGGTTTGTCTTTGCATTGATCGATGCAGAAATTGGTGAAGCGTTTCAGGAATTTTGGATACTCACGCTTGTACACAGCACGGAGGACTGCAGCTGGTGCCCAACCACCAGGATTAACTTCAATTGAAAATTAATACCATTAATTATCTCCTTAAACCCTCTAGAGTATAAAAACAATGGATACTTACCAACAGAGCAGTATGTAATTTTACATGTCAGATCTTCTCGACGTATGTTCTTTGGATCTTTCGGTGGATCAATGAATGTTTGACAGACTAGGCAGACTGTCAAGTAGACCCTGACACATTTTCCAGAATTTGGCTGCAAAAAAAATTGATCAATTTTCTTAAAATAATTTTGCATTTTTTAAATTGATTAAATAATGAATTAATTAATAACAATTATTTAATTAATTAAACATTATGTGAATCATTATTAATCAATTAATAAATTATTGTTATTAATAATTCATTAATAATAATTAATTTATCATTAATAGTTAATTAAGAATTAATGATTAATTAATTAATAATTTTTAATTAATTAACCAATTGGTTTTATTCAAATCCCATAAAAAAATTAATTATTTACCGGATATTGAGGATGCTCCGTGCTATGATTACAAACAATCCACAAATCAGCGGCATCCTGATCCTCACTGTCAGCTACACTCCGCATGTGAGACCAGAACAGAGCGTCGCGCTGGCTAGCCGGCCAAATTCTCTTATGCGTCTGGAGAAAGACTAATGTATCACTGGCAATTGTCTCGACAACAGTCATGTCCTCGAGGGTGGCCTCCCAGCCACTTCTGTACTCCGGACTGAAGAAGATCTCGCAGACTTCTCGTGCCGTCACACCCTTCACCATGTGGCAAGCCTTCAGGGGGTCCACTACGAGACCATCTGCCTCCTCCTCGCGCCTGTACATCTTCATCTCACCGTCCTCGGCGAATAATTGCCAGCCACCTGCACCACCCACTCCCAAACGGGCGTAGTGCAGTTGCTGGAGGGTTACTTTCTCGATCTAATGGAGAAAATTGGGAATTCATTCATGAATTAATGCACATTTTGGTAATTAGCCAATTCTGATACTTAATTGTTATTTTCAATTTGCAGAAAATTTTTTTACTGCTGGATATGAGGGAATTGTGACGACATCGTACAGACGTTTCCTCAATTGATTGTACACTGAGAATCAGTGTACAATCGTTCTCAAACAAGTCTTACTTGTGCCAAGAAAATAGTTTTTTGAAAATGATCAAAAAAGGATTTTTATTGGGCCAAACATGCGGAGAGTGCGCCGGAATGAAAAATTTTGGACGCCAAAATAGATTTACTAGTTCAAAAAAAATTGCATTCTCTGTACACGCAAATGTTATTTCTAGCACTACTCCTTCATTATTCGATACTCCCATACGTATTTTGCTCCCGAAAAATCTCTGTTTTATGCGAAACAGGGGATAGTAGTTTTTCGTTTCGATTGTCTAATAATCACAGACAAGAAATGAACCCTTAAATGAAACAATAATAATGATATCATAGCAATCTTGTAACTTAGGGATAAAATATTTGTTGATAAATATTCTTCTGTATGAGATATTTTCATTCTGAAAAGGCACCGTCTGGTGTGAATTATCCGCCTCTTGAGCCAAATATTTCGTTGCTGTCGAAAGCAGAGCAATTATTCATGTTTGAAACTTCCACATTCGAACCAAACAAATTCCTTTTTGGCAATTTTCAACTAGCGATTTTGTTGGTCCAAACAAGACTTGTTTGACAACGTGTTTGTTTTTCTCTCAGTGTAATTTCTTCGTGTTTTATCATTCTTCAAAATGAAAAAATGTGTTTGCACATTAAAAAATGTTTTTGAACGAATATTTTTAGTCTATAGGTAAAATAAAGTTGTTTAAAAAAATACTCTGCAATCGAAAGAAATACGTGTTCAATGTTTTTATCCAATTTTCATATTTAAGCATTTCATGCAAGAGAGCCATGGTCTTACCTCAGGCCACAGTTTATGACTTTTAGCTGGTGTCACTGGACTCAACGCAACGGACACTGACTTCTTCTTGAGACGATCTCGCAATTGATTGTCCTCATCAATCTTATCCAATCCCGTCTCGACAGCATCGTAGAACTCCTCGTCACACAGAGCACTATGTGGGCCTTCCTTCAGAATTAAATTCAAAAATGAATATTAATATTGTTTGAATATTAATATTCCTCTGTATTTTTCTTTGCGATTATCTCTTTTTTCGCGTACATCACAGAAATAAAAATGTTTTAATTTTCAGGGAAATGTCCCCAATTTTCAGGAATTCAGTAGCGAAGCGGTAAACCGGGTCAAGTCGATTTTTACTATTGGATTTTTTGACGAATATCTCGGAATCTAAAACAGATAGGAATTTTGTTATCATGACCTTTTTTGTAGAGCCAAATGAGTTTCACAAAAAAGGTGATGAGGAAAATTTTGCTATCTCTCTTAGATTCCAAGATATTTATCAAAAGTCAAAATCGATTTATCCCGGTTTACCACTTCGCTCTGAATTCCTATCTAACTTTTAGAAATATATTATCAAATGTCACTGATAGAAATCGCTGATGATCAAAGTCATTCTCATCAGTGTCTAGTATCACCAATAATTGCTGATAGATTCCCAAAAGCCAGTGACATGAAAATAATTCCTGAAAATAATTTTTTTTCTCTGTGCTAATTTTTTTCACTCACTACGACAACAGGTTTTGATCTCAGCCTAATCCTCCCCATAGTTACGAGCAATTAAAATTATTCGCGAGGGGATTGTCTCGTGTGGATGTCTCACGAGACTTCGATCCACCGAACTCAACTGATAAACTGAATACACTATCGCTATGTTTACTAGAGCCCAGTCGTTATATACTTGCGTAATCTTAATTTATGGAGAATGAGTAGCTCACAGTTGTGGGACCACGCGTTGCATAAACTGTTTGGACATGGTACGACCAGTACAGTCTTCGATCATTTCTGGAAATGAGGAATTTATGGAAATGGCCCATCCCAAAAATTTTCTCCGGGGGCAAAATTCTCGGTATTTGATTTCTATCTCGGAAATGCGGAGCCGATAGAAATTTTGGGATCCATCTGTCATTCCCCTTTCTCCAAACAGAGGAGAATGTCAAATGAGAAATCGAAACGTCTTGCATTGCAAGGTCACGCGTACCCAGAATTTTGTAACATTGTTATCCAATTAGTTGCATAATGCGGTTATAAAGTGTAGTTTTCGTCATATTGGTAATCCTCCCGGAATGTTAATAGTAGTTGAGGTATTTCATTCAAAATCTAGGTTTGAGAGGTGGGTCAGGGGAAGGAATTGTTATTCTCTCCGAGTTTACGTGAAATCTAAGCATACAATGGATTGTTTTCGTCGTATTTATAAACGATTAAAAATTTTAATGCCTACACCGTTCGAACTTTACTTCTGAAATTTCGAGTAGAAAACCTTGAAATTTTTAAAAATCACGCATTCACACGAAATATTCATGTATTTGTACTCAATGGAATGGAAATTTTCAGGTGCAAATCAGTAGCGAAGCGGTAAACCGGGTTAAGTCGATTTTTACTATTGGCTAGTTTTTGACGAATATCTCGGGATCTAAAAGAGATAGAAAGATTTTTGTCATGACCTTGTTTGTAGAGCCAATAGAGCGTTATAAAAAAAGTCATGAGAAAAATTTTGCTCTCTCTTTGATTCCGAGATATTCAGCAAAAACTGGCTAATAGTCAAAATCGACTTAACTCGGTTTACCGCTTCACTACTGAAATGATAATGAAAATTATTAAATAATCTGAAAATTCAAACAACAATTTTCGTGAATTTTCAATCCACTGAAAACTCTGTTGAATGTTATGTTCAATTTCCGCAATGAATTTGAAAGATCTCGATGTCATGGAAATGTCAGTAATCTAACATGAAAAATCCAATTATCCTGAATTTCCAATCTGAATGCGAGAATCCATGAACGATTTGATTTTAAATTTAATTCAAATTCACAACATTGAGAATTCAAGTGCAATTATTGTTTAATTTTCAAAAAAATTCTAACTGTGGGGATTTAAAGGGACATATAATTCCGAGAATCAATTGTTTATAAATTATTTACAAAAGCTCATCTTCAAAAACTGCAGTTGTTTACATTTATTAAATATTTCCCAAAAATTCAAAATCAATTTCATTCTGTTTTCAAAAGAATCAAATTTAAACTCTCAAAGTTTGAATAATGATATTATTGCAGAATGTTCGATGACCCAGGGGGAAATGGGGCACAAATAGACGCTCTGATATCCAACTAGAAATTTCGGAAAGAATTCCAACGAATAAAAATGTCTATATTAAAAAAATTAGCAATGCATTTTATTTCTGAATAAAAAAATGTTCCTCCTTAAAATACGCATTTTCACATTCCCAATTAAAATCGACTCTTGAGGGTATGATGCAAATGCCGCATGAACGACTTTAGCTTCAAATATATTTAACGCCTTTTTCGGAACGAAATAAAACGGGTTAAGTCACAATTTTGGGAAAAATCCATTTCAGAGGAGCTGAGTCGACATAACCCGAAAAAAATCATTTAAAAATGAGCTAAGCCGCCTTAGCTCGTTTTATATGGATTCAATGGGTATTCTTAATACTCTTCTCAAATTGGAGTAGTCTGAATTAAAGAATTGGATTTTTAGCTTTTCCATTTTACCGACTATAGAATTTCATTATGACTCTATAATAAAGGAAAATTAATTAAATCCATCTGTCTGATAATGTCTCAATCGATTTTTTTTATTGAGTGGCGGTTTAAGTCGACATAACTCGGTTGGAGGGGAAAATCCGCAGCACTAAGTCGACTTAACTCTTCGAGTGTGGAAAACAATCCGAGCTAATTCGTTAAAAATGGTTAAAAAATGGTCTGCAGAAGTGACAACTTATTGTGCTAAAATCTCTCTCGATCTTGAACGAAATCCGTGCCTGAGTTTGATTAAATTCACAAAAGGACAGTCTCTATCAGTTTTTCGGCTCTCCTGTAAAATTCACATTTTTCGACTGAACCCGGTTTACCGCTCGGCTACTGAAATGGAGTTGAAAATATGCGACAACAATGAAGATTTAATTCAAGGTCCACCTAGACAAATTACGCATTCCCTCAGAGTCTCCGTCAAATGGAAAAATCGTGATAATTGTGAAGGTTTACCTCGTAATCAGGGCCACCATGGATGACCACCCTGGGCCTAGTAGTGTCCCCCTTCTGCGCGTTCACCTGCTCCTTCAGTGCCCTATACAACTCCTGCATCTTTCGTTTCTTCTCTGTCTCTTTCTCCAGTTTCCTCCGCCACGCGTCTTCACGTTGATTCATCAGCTCCACGCAGTGCTGGAGGGTCGCTAGCACTCCTTCACTGGTCGCCTTGAACGTGATAGCCTCGCCCTTAAAATCCACCGACTGCAGGGCTGGATCGAACGAGTCGTTTCTATCAGTTTTCCCCGAATTCTTCGCATTTTCAGCGCAATTATCGAAGTATTTTTGGAGTGTATCAACTTGCTGGCTCAGGATGTCTTTGAATGTCTCCAGTTCATTCAGCTTTTCCTTCAAACTTCGCGAGATACGTTTGCTGAAACTTCCACCACTCGTCGTGGACTGAGTATTCGATATCAGGGAGACTGTACTTCCGTGACGTTTTAAACTGTTCTCACTTCCATATCCTGATTCAGCCTATTGTTAAATTTTAAATTCAGTTCTGAAATGCATTTGCCAACACGGAGGAATAGGATAAAACTGTCTTCAATTGTAAATATCTCATGACCCAGTGATACAATTCGAATAAATCAGCTGTCATTTTGAAGCTTGAAAATATATCTTGAAAATGACAAAAAAATCCGGAAATTCCACTCTGCCATTCTCGAGTTATTAACGATCAAAGACGCTCGGTTTGACCCCACTCTCTCTTATTTCTATAGCGATTTGTCGTAATGCTCACTTTGTACGATTTTAATACGTCAACCCAGCGTTGCTTCTCCTCCGGAGAATTTGCTCTGAGATACCACACCAGACAATCATTCACTGACACGTCAAATCGACACTCGTCAAACTCATGACCCTGGAGTTAAAAATAATATGCAAAATTATCAGAATAATAATTCCCACTCGAAAGCCTTCCGCTACGGGAATTAAGGAGGATTTGTTGAGGCATTTGAACAATACTGATTAGAATTCTAATGAGTCAATTGATGCGCATTGATACACGAAGGAAAACTATTCTCGATAGAATGAAAATTCGAAAAGTCAATTGGACAATTTTTACGTCAATTTTTCATGAAATATGAAATATTCTTGATTCAAGAATCAAGTATTCCTCATTCAAAAACGGATTTTTAAATTCAGGAATGAATGTTCGTGCAGAAATGTCTTTGCAATGACAAAAATAAAAATATTCTCGTAAAAAATATGGTTTCGTTAGTGTGAAACGACGTGTTACAATACAGATAACTCTCGTTAATACCTTGATATCAGCTTTGTAAAGACTGATGGCGCCGCGACACTCGAACTACCATTACATTCATATTTTTTTCAATTCCGAAATTGAATATTGAAATAATAAAATGTTATTGACTTGAAGTTTAAGTTTTCTTAATTAAAAAGTACAATTTTTTAAATTCGAAAATACAATACACGGAAAAAATACATCGCAACTACAATTTTGAAAATCAATTTGACAATTTTTGGATTTATTTACATTTCTTCAATTCCAAAATGAAATATTCTTGAATTACAAATAAACGGTTGTAAATTTTAAAATGAAGTATTCTCCCTGAAAATATAGATGAGAATGTCTTCAGCAATAAATATTTCGTTCATGTGGCACTTCTCAGAATACAAATAAATCTCGTTAATTCCTTGATATCAGCTTTGTAAAAACTGATTGGCCCCGATAGCCGAAACCATATTAAATTGATATTTTTTTTCAATTCCAAAATTGAATATTAAAATAATAAAATATTACTGACTTGAAATTTCAGTTTTCTTCATTAAAAAGTAAAATGTTTTTAATTCGAAAACACAATACACGAGAAAAAATACATCCTAACTAGAATTTAAAAAATCAATTTGACAATTTTAGAATTCATTCCAATTTCTTCAATTCTAAAATAAAATATTCTTGAATTAAAAACAAACGGCTGTAAATTGTTGAATGAACTACTCTCCCTTAAAAAGTAGAAATGAATTCATAACTCAGAAACAGATTTATCAATTGAGCTCAGTCTAAGCTCATCACAAAGAGGAATCATTGTTTTTCAATTGAAAAATAAAATGATTCCATTTCGTAAACAATTCAACACGTCATGAATATTTAAAAAAAAATCAAACGTGTCCGTTTTACCCTACCTTCCCCTAACAAAAATATTTCGTTCATGTGGGCCTTCCCAAAATCCAAAAAAATCTCGTTAATACCTTGATATCAGCCTTGTAAAGACTGATGGAGCCCCGACACCCGAACCCACTGTCCTGCTCCGACTTGTAATAGGACAACGTGCCATCCTTCAAAACAATGAACCGTATCTGCCACCCATGAATGTAGTTCGTCCACTTGGACAGCGTCCCCTGCAGCTCCGGTACAGTGACACCATCCGACTCTTCCTCATCCACATCATCCCCATCGACCCCGATCTCCACCATCTCCGCGTCCTCCCCGTTGCTCGCACAACTGGCCATCCTGATCACTTCCCAACTCAGTATTCACCTCGCGTAAGCTACCTGACAGCGACAACTACTCCAGATTCTAGGAGTAAAACAGCCTTCACCAAGTCACCCTCAGTTTTTTAATGACAATTGTCTCATCACCGTGACTCACACCAACGACAACAACATTCAATTCTGATGATTTGGAATTGTCAAGACAAAAATTGACTAAACTCCGCCCATTTGTCAGACTCTTCTCGTCTCCTCAAACCATTCAATTTGCTGTATCATATGATTCAAGGACCAATTTACGTGTTTATGGTGTGTGCATTACAGCGAAAAACACTGGTATCAATCATTCGATGGGTGAGTGGACACTCGAAACGACGAAATTTAGCACTGAATTCATTAAAAAAATGCTCTTCAACTATCAGAAATCCTCGGGAGTCATGATTTTCCTTGAGAAAGAGATTTTCACTGGTTCATTTTTTAGTTCTTTCGAGGAGTAAATAATTAACTACGACACTTGATGCGTCAAGACGCATTCGCACGGTAGAAAGGGAAAAAATGGGGCTTCTCCAATTGGTACGAGAGTATCGTCCGTTGGAAATTGCCTGCAATGGCTGCCTGACTTCTGTTCTGCTTCACTCGTAAGTGGAGCGAGAAAATAAAAGGACCGTTTCGCCAGCGATTTTCCCCGAACATCTGTTATTCGAGTTATTCGGAGAGTTTTAGCGTTTCCGTGGATCAACGGGGCTCTAATAATTGTGGTGGATAATTTGGAGGAGAGTGTCTGTGACATGAATTGATCGCTCGATTTCTCCTTGGCGGTGGGAATTTATCGGCAAGTGGACAGCAATGTCGCTTTTTAATAAACCGAAGAGGAATATCAGGAGGAGATCGTTCAATGATGAGTCCGAGGACAATGAGAACAGGATGGATGTCGATCAGGAACAGACTGTTAAGGTTAAGGCGAAGAAAAAGGATAAACCTAAGCAGACACTCCTCAGTTTTGGCGAGGAGCTGGATGAAGGTTATTTCTCATCGAATTTACGATCAATTTTGTGCATCGCATGGGGTAGATTCCGTCGCACAATTTCAATTCCGTATTTCAGTAGCGAAGTGGTAAAACGGTGCAAGTCAATTTTGAGTATTAACCAGTTTTCAATGAATATCTCGGAATCTGGGGGAGGTAGCTATATTTGTGTTGTAACCTTTTTTGTAGGGCCGATTGAGAGCTACAACAAATGTAATTACGAAAATTTCGCCATCTCCCTTAGATTCGGAAATATTCCTCAAAAATTCAACTGGGAGATGTGTCACTTCGCTAGTGATTTAAATTCGTCTAGAGCTTATTTATTATGAAATAGAAATGAGGGAATTTATTTGGGGTGAGGAGGTAGAATGGAGGTTTTTTCATCGTTGATAATTCAAGACTGCTTTTTTAGGGGAGGGTGGGGTAAAATGGACACTAGACTTTTCTAAAATTATCCATAACTCAGAAACAAATTTATCAATTGCGCTCAGTTTAGGCTCGAAACAAAGGGAAAGAACTGTTCTTTATATTGAAAAAATATATATTAAATTTTATAGGGGAGGTTGGGGTAAAACGGACACTTTTCACTTTTTTTAAAATGTTAATGAGGGGTTGAAATGTTAATAAAATTTAATAATTTTTTTTTTCAATACAAAGAACAATTCTTTCCCTTTGTAGCGAGCCTAAATAGAACTCAATTGATAAATTTGTTTCTGAGTTATGAATAATTTTAAAAAAGTCTCAAGAGTTCATTTTATCCCACCCTCCCCCAAACATTTCAACTCCTCATTAATATTTAAAAAAAAGTTAAAAGTGTCTGTTTTACCCCAACCTCCCCTATTTTGAAGGTATTTTTTCAGGATAAAAGCAGTAGCGAAGTGGTAAAACAGTGCAAGGCAATTTTGACTACTGACCCCTTTTGAATGAATATCTCAGATCTAAGAGAGATATCAAGATTTTTGTTATAACCTTTTTTGTAGAGTCGATTGAGAGCTACAACAAATGTAATTACGAAAATTTCGCCATCTCCCTTAGATTCGGAACTATTCCTCAAAAACTCAACTGGGAGATGTGTCACTTCGCTAGTGATTTAAATTCGTCTAGAGCTTATTTATTATGAAATAGAAATGAGGGAATTTATTTGGGGTGAGGAGGTAGAATGGAGGTTTTTTTATCGTTGATAATTCAAGACTGCTTTTTTAGGGGAGGGTGGGGTAAAATGGACACTAGACTTTTCTAAAATTATCCATAACTCAGAAACAAATTTATCAATTGCGCTCAGTTTAGGCTCGAAACAAAGGGAAAGAACTGTTCTTTATATTGAAAAAATATATATTAAATTTTATAGGGGAGGTTGGGGTAAAACGGACACTTTTCACTTTTTTTAAAATGTTAATGAGGGGTTGAAATGTTAATAAAATTTAATAATTTTTTTTTTCAATACAAAGAACAATTCTTTCCCTTTGTAGCGAGCCTAAATAGAACTCAATTGATAAATTTGTTTCTGAGTTATGAATAATTTTAAAAAAGTCTCAAGAGTTCATTTTATCCCACCCTCCCCCAAACATTTCAACTCCTCATTAATATTTAAAAAAAAGTTAAAAGTGTCTGTTTTACCCCAACCTCCCCTATTTTGAAGGTATTTTTTCAGGATAAAAGCAGTAGCGAAGTGGTAAAACAGTGCAAGGCAATTTTGACTACTGACCCCTTTTGAATGAATATCTCAGATCTAAGAGAGATATCAAGATTTTTGTTATAACCTTTTTTGTAGAGTCGATTGAGAGCTACAACAAATGTAATTACGAAAATTTCGCCATCTCCCTTAGATTCGGAACTATTCCTCAAAAACTCAACTGGGAGATAAGTCGACTTGAACCGTTTTACCACTTCGCTACTGAAATGAATTTTAATTTATTCGAATTGAATCATTCTGTCTGCAGATATTAACAATTAATATTCCCCTTAACTTTATTTATTATAAGATGAAAACCATGAAATTCTTTTGGGGTGACGAGGATAACAAAATCGTAGAAGAGTGAAATGGCCCAATTTTTTTACTTCATCTTGAAGGTATTGATCCAGACTTTCGAACGAATTTTGACCTATTCCAATTGGGTCATTCACCCTGCGGAAATTAACGATTCAGAAACATTCATTTTACCTCACCCATTCCCAATGCCTCATCAACTACAATTAACGACCCTAATAATGCATTACGTAACACTAAATACTATTTCAGCTGATGATGGTGAGGTTTTTAAAGTGAAGAAATCATCTCGGAGCAAAAAACTGATGAAACAACTCGATCACGAGAGGAGAAAAAAGAAAGGTGAAGAGAAAATGCAAGTGGACTCTGAGCAAGCAAACATGTCCATTAAGCGCGACAAAGATTTAGAAATAAAGACAGATGATCTAGTAGTAAGCTATCTCTATGATGTCTTATTAGTTATTAGTATAAACTACAATTCTTTTAAATTTAATATAATCAACATTCGCAAGGTTCATTTCATAAAAATGAATCGTATCCATCTGATTGTGGCTGATTAGCTATTTGTGGTGGCCCAATCGTTACTCATGACATCCAGCAAAATTCCTCCAGGTAGCTTTCACTGATGAACGTTTTTTATTCACAGGTTAAAATTAAAAATACAGGACCACTTATATTGAATGGAAGAGCTGCACTTGTGGCTGGAAAGGATGATTATAGCTCTGAGGATGAGGAGAATAATAAAGGCCACAGTTTTAGGAAAAATACTGCCCAACCTGACACCATGAAGCTGCTTTTGCAAAGTGAGCATCTGATTATTTCCTTCAATATCGATATTTTCGTGGATATTTTTATATCAATTATTATTTTGCAGGTGGTTGTATCCCTGATGCAGCTATGATTCACGCTGCGAGGAAAAAACGTCAGAAGGCGAGAGAATTAGGAACTGATTACATACCCATTGAGGAAACAACGTAAGTCTTTAGAATTTTTAATGCAGAAATAGCTAAAACGACTAATTTATTTTCGTTTTTCAGCAGGGAGGATAAAGGTAAATCGAGATTAATTCGCGAAGAAGATCATGATCGCAGTGATGATGATGATGATGAGGATAGGATCGATATGACTGTTAATACTGAGGCCAGGGATAAGGAGAAGAGGAGGGAAGCCTTCCTGGCTTCTCAAGTCTCGATAAAACGTATCTATTTTCAAATAAATATATCCAAGCTTTCCCGATTATTTTCTCTCTTCGACACTATTTTTCACTGATTGCATATTGTTTTTTTCACAGTTTCAGACGATGAGAGTGAGCATGGACTCGAGGAGGAGGAGTGGGAGGTGCAGCAGATCAGAAAAGGAGTGACTGGAGCCCAGGTTATTTAAAAATAATTAAAAAATTCCGCTTTAATGTTCAATTTTTGTCGTATTTGTACTGATGATGATGTTACTACAGATTGCAGCTGCTCAACAAGACTCAATGATGCAACATCAGTACACCATGGGGATGAATCCAAATCAGATGATTGGGGGCAGTGGAGTCCCAATGGAAATGGTCCTGATGCCAGCCCCACCACCTCCTCCGTGCATTCAGCCCCCAGATCCAACGAAAATTGTCCCAGTGACACCTCGGGAAGTCGTGGAGAAAATGAGGACAAGGTAATCAAAATTTCACTCTATGTTTTTTGAAAACTAACAGAACTAATTTATTTTCAAGAAATTAAATTTTAAAAAAATCATAGCACAAGTCAGTAATGAAGTGGTCAAACGGTTTCAGTCAATTCCATTCTAGCGTCAGTTCGCGATGAATATCTCAAATTTTAAAGGAGTTAGCCAAATGTTCCTAAAAATCTTTTTTCTAAAGTGAAAGCCTATCGAAATATCACTTTTTGAAAAGTGAAGACTATCGAAAAAGATCTTACAAAAATTTCGTTATCTTTCTTAAATTCCGAGTTATGAATTAATACTTCTTCAGATGACTCAATGAGATGTTAAAAAAATTTTGTTTTGCTTTAATCAGAAGAAAAATGAAAAAACATCTCAATGTAAACAAAATATTCACCAAGAGTCCAAAACGAACGCAAATTTTGGAAATTTTGTAATATTGACATTCTTTTTCATTTTTTTAGCTGAATAAATTTGACATAGGTTTCCAGTTGAAATAAGAAACAACTAAACAAGATAGGATTTTTTGTTTTTATTTTTTTTATATGATACGTGCGTGTAACCGCATGGGTTTCAGTTGACTATAGTCAACTGGAAAGTAGCGGGTTTCAAGCGCCTACCCACACTCAACTGAAACCCACTGTTATGCCACTCATGCCTGAAACCGGCTGGATTACACCCGACGCTTCGCGTCTCGTGTCTAATTCAGCCGGTTACAGGCTTCGTGACATAAAATTTTGTTCAGTACTTGTTGGGAAATTTCGTCCTTAACGTGTGTGGTTACATCACTCGCCTTCGGCTCATGCTGTAAACCCCACACACGTTAAAGACGAAATTGCCCCACACGTGCTGAAAAGTGTATTTCGACGTTTTGTATCATATTTTTTATAATTATAACTTTCTTTTTTTTGCGAATTCTTAATGATTTTTAAAAATTGTATTTTGTAATTATTATAATTAATTTTTTTCAATTAAAAATACTTTACAAGTTTTTTGAACTACATATTTAATGAATATAATTAATTTTTTCTTCAGAAGTTCCGCATAATTTTTAAATCACACTTTTTTATAATTATTTTTTAAAATAAATGTGATCTTTTTTCTTCAGTGGG